TTGGTGAATTTATTACCATTTGTGGGTCCCTGACCTGCCAATACTGTCTCTGTACAGAAGAAAATAAGAAGGGAAGGAAGGGAGGGAAGGAGGGAGGAAGAAGGAAAAGGGAGGGGGAAGGACATAAGAAAAGAAAGAAGGGGGAAGTGAAAAGGAGAAAAAGAGAAGAGAGGGGGAGAGAATAGGAAATGAAAGAAAATCTGGAACCCAGTGAAGCTAAGGAGGATTTGGCCATGGAATATGATTTAGGAATAACAGGGCTGGTGGTGCTCACGAGTGCTGGAAATCTTGGTGTTGTGGTATGAAGTCATCACAAACTGTCATCATGTTATCTAGGAAGTTTGAAGAGGATTGTTCAGGCTGCACTGTACAAGTGTATGTGTCTGAGCTAAGATGGCAAAAGAAATGTCTTTTCCAGTAATGTCTCCCACTTGCTTTAAGTAGGCATGAAGGCCCAGAATGTCTTCATATTAGGGCCCAAGAAATTAATCCAAGCCAGAAAGGAGGCACAAGATCACTTCCAAGGAGAAGACACAAAACCAGACTCTGATCTATTCATAGTCTCCCCAAGGGTGAGTGACAAGAGCTCACTAACATGGGCTAGAATCTCTGTAGAAACAAAGTCCTCTAGAAAAAGAGATTATAGGCTGGACTAGTCTAGGTTTAAGGACAGGATGGAAAATTAAGGGTAGGTGAGTAATGACTCCATGAAGCAAAAGTAGGTGGGGATGTGTGTGAGAGCTTGATCTGAAAGGGAGACAGGATCAACCCCTCCTCCACTTTTGTGGTGCTGGAGACTAAAGCCAGGGCCTGGTGCTAATGTTACCACTGAGCCACTGAGCTGTATCCCCAGATGAACAAATTTTGGTGTCCACGACACTTTCTGGATCTCTAAATATGGACAAGTAAGTTAAAATGGGTTCTTTTTCCTAGTACTCAGAGACCACTCTGAAGAATTGGCTCTTAGGTTTCCTATGTCCAGGCCAAGCCTATTGGGAAGTCCATTCCTCTGCCTTACTCTTCTGCCTGCTGGGGAATCCTTATGGTAGCAAAAGAAGCTAGTGTAGATTGAAGGGCACAGGAGATAAGTGCCTAGTAAATGCATGGCATGTCGTGAAGGAGCCAATAGCCACCTCCTAGTGGGCTGCCCACCATCTGCTAGCGAGTACACCTGATTGTCCCATGCCAAGACTCATGTTCAGGACAGTCAGAAAAAGATAAGATGGGAACAAGTTATCCAGGCAGAAGTGGGCAGATGACAGTAACTGAGACAGCTGGAGGAGAAAGTAACTTGCGTGGATGGACTTCAGTAACTGCAGGTGAGAGTCTGAAGAGATGAGGCCAGAGCTAGAGTGTGAGGAAGGTAGATGCGTATACTGCATGGAGGTAAGCAAGAAAATGTCCTAACTTTATTTATTTATTTATTTATTTGTTTATTTATTTATTTATCACTACCACAAATATTTATTTAGCAAAATGTTTGATATGAAAGTGTACATGACTTGCTTTTTTACATTATGGTAAAAATAGGCCCTCTGGGTGGGAACAAGAATTGCTGTTTTCTCACATGGCCACTATTTCAGTACTATTCTGCTGTACACTAATTGTCATCTCCACATATTCCATCACAAGGCCCAGAAAAAGAACAAAGCCCAAGTATATTTCTTGGATGTCTGTCTCAACTCCACACCATGGCTCCCCTATCTCACATGTGTGTACACACACTGGCAGCTCCAACTCTATCATCACCCCTAAACTGATGCCTGACATCAACTAACTTGGTTTTTGTTTCTCAAAAAAATGTTAAAGTAGGCTTTTGCCACTGGGTGCTATTAATGGTGTAGGATCAGCTGGTTCTTTGTTGGGAGTTGTTTGTGCACTCTAGGCTATTTACCATCATCCCTAGCCTGTACCTAGATGTCAGTGGTAGCTCCCTCCCAAGTTGTAACCATCTGTCCAACTGTCCTTTGGGAAGCCCTTGGCACCTTTCTTAAAAGTTCCTGTGCTTTGTTGAAGATTCTGTACCAGCTGAAGTCAAAGGTACATCTTAGCTAACTACTCATTTTAGGGAGGGGAATTATTTTGTGCATGTAAAATAAACAAGTCAATAAACTTCTGTTGCATTTTTTTTCCTTTTTTTATGTCAACATCCATTTTGTGCAAAGAAACCTTTCCAATTTAGAACCTATGGATATGATTCCTCTGCAGTTCCATTTGAGGTGTCTGTAAGACTGTAAAACTGAGTGGAGAGACCAAACAAGCACTTGGAGAAGCTCAGGGTAATAATTCTGGATAAAAGTTCTGGAGTTATCAATCAATATTCTGGCAGGCAGTACTAATTGTACTCAATAGGAGAAAGAAAGGGAGAAAAAATGAAGGAAGGAAGGAAGGAAGGAAGGAAGGTAGACATGATGGCTGGAAGTAAATGTATTAGGGTATCTGGGGTAATGGGGGGCAGTTAGTTGTAGAGACTCTACATTGTGTACATTTATAAAATTTCCAAAGTATAAACAAAAGAGTTTTTTTTATATCAGGAGTTCAAAAGGTCTGCAGTGGTCTTACCCCTACACTGGACCCTTTATAACCTGCCAAGCAAGATGGCCAGATGGTGAAATAGCAGCATGAATGCTATGGGGGTAACCAAGTGCTTTCTAATTGAATTTTCAGCCCACTTTACAGGAGGAGAAATCCATGCCTGATAATATAAAATACCATGCCTGGTAAAAAAAAAAAAAGTCCATGGCTGGGACAGTAATAGGCCCTAGGGGGGAACCTACTACTGTTGTTTTGCTGTACATGATGTCAAACCTTCTGAATATGTGTGATTATACCCATAGATTGTTGCCATTCTCAGCCTTGATTAGAGAAGCTTCATTTTGAAATGGGCAGTGATTAATGCAGTGACTCATTACTGGTGAAAGTGCTGAGAAAACTGACTAATGACTGCTCATCCCTAAATGAGACATCTATATCGCCTCCTCTAAGGCTCAGAGAACATTTAGAAGAGAGAAAGACAGCAAACAGCCAGAAGATGAGGAGGAATGTTGTGAATTGCTGTCTTTGGGGCATTACTGTTGCACCCATGAACTCACAGCCACAGTGGCTCCCTGCAATGAGACCTGCACAAGACTGGGCCCATCACCAGTTAGTTATCCAGGCAGTTAATGGTTGCCTTGTTGTGGGAGAGGAGTCACAGTCCTCAGTGGAAGCCACTGACTGATAAGTTGACGCCCCTGTAGTAAAAATAAGTCACCCATTTTCACTAAGGCAACCTTAATTAAACGCAGTGGATCAAATGAAAGATGTGAAAACAGTAAGAGGACTTGTAGGGAAGAAGGTGTTGAGTGGAAGCTGGAAGAGGATGAGAGAATAACTGGGGAGAATATGATCAAAATACATTGTATCTATGCAATGAAATTGTGAAAAAAATAATTCCTTAAACAAGAAAAATATTCTGGAGTTTAGGGCTGGTGCTGTGGCTCAGTTGGTAGATGCTTGTCTAGCCTGCACAAAGCCCTAATTTCGTTCCCAACACTGCATAAACGGACTACGGCAGTGCACCCTTGTAATCCCAGCACCTGGAAGTGGAGGCAGAAGGATGTATTCAAGACCAGCTTCCAATTTAGGAAGCACACTGAGTTTACTAAATGACTCATGTCCCTGTGCCTTGGACAGTAGAGGGGACAGAGGGTAAAGGTTAACCTTCTGAGTCTCTTACAGAGCAAGTCTGGATAGTTTACTTTTGTTTCACCAAAGACGTTTCTTTTTAAAAATCAGCCTTATTAGAAGAAAGACTGAAGAGGCAATTACCTGGAAGGACAAGTGTTACAGGGGTCTATCAGCTATGGTTAGCCCTCATAGGCAGGGTTGTGAGCTTACTGTTTGTTGCCATTTTTCTTGATTTTTTAAGTTAACTTTTTAAATTAACATACAAAATAGTGCTCCTCATCATAACATTTTCATTAATAGATATCATTGTACTCCTCACCCCCTATACACACATCCTTCCTCTGTCACTCCTCCCCTTCTTTCCATGTCACCCCAATCCCTCCTCCCTCTCAAAACCCCTCATGCTTTCTCCCCATCCCTTCTCACTCCCATTCCCCTTCCCCATTCATTCCCCTCCTTCCTCCCTGCCCCTCCCCTTCCTATCATCCCTGTTCTTCCCAATCCTTCTTCCTCCCCTTCCCCATTCATTCCCCTCCCTCCTCCCTGCCTCTCCTCATCATCATCACCGTTCATTATCATCCCTCCTCCTCCCCTTCCCCATTCATTCCCCTCCCTCCTCCCTGCCCCTCCTTCCATCTCATCTCCCATCCCTCCTCCTCCCTTTCCCCATTCATTTCCCTCCCTCCTCCCTGCCCCTCCCCTTCCTATCATTCCCTTTCTTCCCAATCCCTCCTCCTTCCCTTTCCCATTCGTCTCCCTCCCTCCTCCATGTCCCACCCCTCCTACCACCTCTCTTCTCTCCCATCCCTCCTCCTCCCCTTCCCCATTCATTTCCCTCCCTCCTCCCTGCCCCTCCTCATCCTCATCCCTGTTCATTATCATCCCTCCTCCTCCCCTTCACATTCATCTCCCTCCTTCCTTGTCCTACCCCTACCATCCCTCCCCTTCCCTTTCCATTCATCTATCCCCTCTCCACCCCTCCCCCTCCTCCCATCTCTCTACCTTAATCCCCCTCCCTTTTTCCATTCCTTTTCGTCCTCCCTGTCCCTCCTCCTCCTATGTTGCTCTTCTCTCCAACCCTCCTCCCCCTTCCAATCTCCTCTCCCCACCCCACCTTTATTCTCCCTCATTCCTCCATAATTCTCCTCCCCCTCCCTCCTCCCTGGTCTTGTCCAAAGGACTAATTTTTAAGGTAACGCGCCTTTGATTTTCAATAAAAGAAATACTAAAATAGGTCAGACTGATTACTTTTATTTAAAACACATCACGTTATTGAAAGGAGGATTTCATGTAAATTGTCCCTTAGGAGCAATTGTAGACCTGAGGAGAGTCTAGATGTTAACATGGAAAGACTCCTCAATAGCAATCTGGTACTGAGTTTCCTCGTCCAGCTGAAGATTGACGTAATCCCCGTAGTCAAATTGGTGCCTCTGGTTTAGGTGACTAACGAAATTCCTCGTAAGTTGAGTAGGGTCTCCCCATGGAAGAGACAGGCAAATCGGGCAAATGACTGGAACAACTTGACCTCTGTGGTCGGTGTTGCAATGATCCAGCAAACGCTGTCTGGTCATGTTTCCTTCTTCACAGAGAGGGCAATCAAAGGTGGGCTGATCATCGGCTGGTTCTGCGTGATCTTCCTCTTGATAAGCTTCGGCATTTTCAGAGGTGGACGCCTCACTGTTGCTGTTGGCCACGGTATCTGGAGACAGCTGGAAGCTTGGAACAGTTGAAGAAACTCCAAACTCATCTTGGTACTTTTCGCAAGTTTTGTAATGCTGTCTCATGCGATAGAGTTCAACACGTTGGGAACAGCATCGGCAATTACCAGGAAAACTTCTCATGATGGTCTCGAGGTCTAGAGCCCTCTCTGGACATGCTCTTTCTCTTCTGGTCACATTTCCACGGCACAGGGGGCAATGGACCCGGCTCTCCTTCATTGCAGTCAGGAAACATTTTCTACAGAAAACGTGCTGACAGGCCGCGACCCGAACCGGCGTTCTGAAGACTTCTTGGCAAATCGGACAGTAGAAATCATCTTCAGTGTAAGACGTGGAAGCAGACTCTTCCTCGGCCATGGTGGTAGCTGGTGGAGGCCCAAGGCCATGGCAGCAGGCCCCTCCCCGGCGGCGCGGGGGGGGCTGCCCCCCCGCGGCTGCCGAGGTGGCGGTGGCGGCCCGGGGCTAGACTCCCTGGGATCTTGCAAGCAGCGCTTTAGGTCAGGCTGCGTCTCTCCGCGGCCGATCGGTAGACAGGTGGCCCTGTGCCGCGGGGTCCGATTTCAGTCCGTTTCTGACCAGCAGTTGACTGGTTCCCCAGCAAATGAAGGGTGGCGCTCTGTTCTTAAGGGCCTCAGAACCCACCAGACCTGAAGCGCATGATAGTGGGGATCCCTCCCACTCCGCCAGCAGCTTTCCTGCGGTTGAGATCTGGCTGCTGCTGCCTGCCTGGCTGGTGGTCACTGCGGAGTGGATAGCCACACGAGAGCCGGAGGCGGGGGCACATCCCTTCTTTTTTTTGTTCCCCTTTTTTTTTTTTTTTTTTTTTTTCTTTTTACAATATTTTTTTTTTTTTTTTTTTTTTTTTTGTCCCAGCTGGGCCTGGTGGCACCGGCTTGTAATCCCCGCCAGTAAGAGAGGCTGAGGCAGGGGGATCGTGGGTTCAAGGCCAGACTGGGCAACTTAGGGAGCATTTAGGGGAGTCCTTGTCTGGAAGAAGTAAAAAGAAATTTGCAAATACAGCTCAAAGATTGCTTTGCATGTGCAAAATGCTAGGTTTAATGCCTAGCACTGCATCAAGTCCCCCAAGTGTGTAAGTGATTCTTCTATGTGGCCAATTAAGTACCACTGTTATCGGGCTACTATGTGTAACAGCGTATTGGCTCTCCTGCCTACACCAAGTTTTTTTTTTTTGTTTTTTATTTTTTTTTTTTACACACACACACACACACACACACACACACACACACACACACACACACGCCATGCCACTTTTAAAAGGCCAACAGCGAAGAGCTAACTGCACCATTTAAAATTCCTGTCAAGGCTATCTTCATTAATTCAGCTTTTCAGCCCTCTCCTTTCTTAATGGGAACTGAAAAACCTATCAGTCCTTAAACTTGACAGGTGAGACCCATACATCCAAGGCAGACATCTACAACTTAAATAGCAGACCCCTGCTTTAGAATTTTTCCATCTGCACTGCAAACCCAAGCAAGGAATTGTGCCATCTTAACTATATATGAGCTTGAGAAATTGTCCACTAGCAGGCCCAGGTGAACTGCTTTCTTTCATGTCACCCAACAAATCAACAATGTCCTAGATGCTTTTACAACGCTGACAGCCTGACTGTCTGCCATCAACTTGCATTTCTGAATGGAATCAGGATCCCTAGATACCTGAAGCTAGTGGCAGTGATAGCAAATCTTAGGGAGATTTTATTTTTGTTCACTTAAAAATTCCCACCCAAGCATTAGCTAAAAATGTATCTTTTCCCTTCAGCATTACTGCCTATCTTTCTACATGGAACTACCTAGATTCAGTGTGCTCTGGGATGCTAAACCCAAAAGGGGGGCAGTGAGAGATGGGTGGGAGGGCATGTTGGAGTACAAAGGACACTAAAAGGACAGGTGATTCTAGTCCAAATTTGCCTCCTGCTGGACTTTATGCAAACCACGAAACACCAAGAGCCTCTGATCACTCATCTGTAAAGTGGCACCATAAGCTGTGATTGAAACAGTTCACAGGCTTCTAAAAATATCAAATAAGATAGTGCTTATGAAGCTGTCCCAAACCTCTCTTCACGTTCATGATGCTTGTTTCCTGTTTGGACCAGTTACTAGATGTGCCTGTGAAGTCAAGGGAAAAGAACAAAGCCAGAGACGCACCAATGGATGATTTCTCTGTGGAACCATTTCCTAGGAAACACTGTCTTGTTAACCAGCTACCCAATATGCTGTAATATACAGTCCACAATTTACCCACTTCAGATTCTGAAATAACTGGCCTCTAATATTTTGAAAGTGTCTTTCAGGCATCTCTGGATTTATAACTTGCATATGTATTTCTACAATGGAGACTGAATTCTCCCAGCCTCATGTATCCTTCCAGACTTCAGGCTTCCATTACTCTTTCTTTCAAAAATCACAAGCCTTGTTAGGAAATGCAAGTCTCTAAGCATAAGTGATGGAAGCAATATTCCACTGTTAACCTGGAGGTGACAGCTTAATAACCATTGATAATAAACTTGTGATTTCTCCTCTCTGGCTCAGAAATTAGAAATGGTCCAGATTTGCTGTTCAACTTCAGAAAGGTGGCATTGCTGCCACCACTATGTTAAGTGACAGTGCAAAAACAGCTTTTCTACCCCAATCCAAAGGGAGCAGAGAGAAAGGAGAGATGGTCCTAGTAGATAGCAGAGGCTGCAACTGCAATTGTCCTAATCCTTTGCTGCCGGACATAACAGAGAACAGAAAGTAAATGATTTTCCATGTTTCCTTGATGCTAAGGGTTACTAGATGACCCAGCTCTGGCCCATGAGACAGAGCCGAAATTTTTGGCTTCTTTTCCCTTCCATAGGGTATATGGCAGTAAGAATATATAGTCAGACTACCCTGATTCAAAGTTACCTGAATAATTTTTTCTGTCTGTGGTTTTACCACTAACTTATTAGAACTGAATTGTATTATTTTATTTTATTTTATGTTTTTGGCTTTTGATGTTAGGAAAAACCTCATATATTTTTTAGAGGTATGAAAATAATTGCATGACTCCAAAGCTAAATCTACAAAACAGGGTATATGAGAAAGGTCAGTTCCAGGCTTTGTCTTCCCTACTCAGTTTCCTCCATCCTCCATATATGGACATTGCCTCCTGGGCTGGAGAAATGGCTCAGAGGTTAAGAGTGCATACCGCTCTACCAGAACCCAAGCTGGGTTTCCAGAATGCATGTCAGGCAGCTCATAACCAACTGGAACTCCAGTTCCAGGGAAGACAACCCTATCTATCCTCTGGCCTCCTTGGGCATCTAAACACACATACCATACATTCACACAAACAAATACACATAAACATAAAAATAAATCTTAAAAAACAAAAATTGTTTTCAATATGGATCTTACAATATAGCCCTGACTTGCCTAGTACTCACTATCTAAACAAGGCTGGCCTCAGGTTTGTGAAAATCTTTTTGTCCCTGCCACCCGACTGCTGGGATTATAAACATGAATCACCATACCCCAGTCCCTTCTATATTTACCAATGGAAATTCTGTGAAAAAGTTTCCTTTTTCATTATTTTATCAAGTATTTATTTTATAACAGCATGAACTTGTGGAACATTATTCTTCTGTATTTTCTTCTGATATTATTTATTTAGTATCTCATAGTGTCCCAGATTAATGTATTGAAAGCTTTGCCCCAAATTCAGGGACCTTGATACAGTAGACATGACCACTTGTCCCAACAGGCCAAAGAGATGTGAAGTGGTGAGGAGCAGACAAAGGGCATAAGCATGGACACATTGAGAAGAACAGATTCAAAGGCTCACTAACCCCCAAGTCTATCTTCAAAAGGCTGACAGGAAATGTAAGGTTTTCTAGGAGAGGAAAATGAGGGAGAGGATTGGTCAGGCTGGTGTTACTGTGGTAACCGATCACTATCTCATTCTGCAAGGGGTTCAGGACTAGCTGTTATCACTGTCATCATTCCCTGGGATGATTCAAGGGAACAGCTTCTGTTCCCATTGAGTGTGTGTGTGTGTGTGTGTGTGTGTGTGTGTGTGTGTGTGTCGTCTGTCTGTCTGTCTGTCTGTGTCTATGTGTGTGTGTGTCTGTGTTGTGTGTCTGTGTGTGTGTGTCTGTGTATGTGTGTCTGTGTGTCTGTGTGTGTTTGAAAACTGTAAAGTAAGAAAATAAACAACTCAATGAAAATGGGCACAGACACAGTCCTATAGTCCTAGCACTCAAGAGGCTCAGACAGGAAGATCAGCATGAGTTCAAAACCAGCCTGGCCTGTGTGTTGCCAGACCCTGTCTGAAGAAAAAGAAACAAAGAAGACAAAAAAAAAAATACTTGATCAAACACTTCACCAAAGAAGATTTATGGGTGGTAAATAAGCACATTAAAACAGTCAACATTGTTAGTCCTTTGAATATGCAATTCAGACCATAATGAGACACTACTATGCAGCTATTGGAATGACCAAATTTGAGGCTGGAGAGGTACCTTGACAATTAAGAGCACTTACTGCTCTTGCAGAGGACCCAGGTTTAGTCGCCAACAGCCACAGAAACACTCACAACCACAGTAACTCCAGTTCCAAGGTATATGTCTTCTGACATCCATGGGATCCTGCACACACATGATACACCGACATACACTAGGGCACAGACACATAAAATCCATCATTTTAAAAGAAAGGTCCTACTTTATGAAACAAAATCTGATACTATCAAGCTCTAGAGACAATATGAGTAGGAGCCAGAACTGTCGTCCTAGGCTTTCAGCTCTGAAATGCCATGGGAAACACTCGGGTTGTTGTTTCTTATAAACATACACTTAACACACAGCTCAATAAATCTGACTTCCAGGGATTTGCCCAAGGCAATAGAAACTTACATGCACACAAAAATCTGTCATGGATATTTTTATTGGCCTTATTCATCACTGGCAAAAGCTAGTATCTTCCATTGGAGAATATATAAGCAAATTGTGGTATAGCCATACAATAAATGCAGCTTGGCAATAACATAAGACAAACAACTGAGAAATGCTACAATGTGAATGAATCCTGAATGGTAGATGAAAGAAGCCAAGCCAAAAGGGCTGTATCCTGTCCAATGCTACCTACAAGACATTCTAAAGAAGGAAAAACTGCAACAACAGAAACCAGATCCCATTTCCAGGAGCTGGGATTAAGGAAGAGGATAAATTAGAACCAGGTGGCAAGGCCCAGCACAGAAGCTCAGGGCTTACAATTGTAATACTGATACTTTGAAGACTTGGGGAAGAACACCATGAGTTCAAGGCCAGGCTATGCAACATAATGACTGCTAGACTGAGCTATATTATAATAATAATA